AATAATCCGTCCCATCTACTTACTGCTCTACTCCATCATTAAGGAGGTGAAAGATGGCCACCTCAGGACTAAGGGGGTCGAGAGACAACACAGGATGGATAGCATTTAAAATAAGAAAGCAAGCAGACATGGAAGGCAGGTATATCGATAGGTGGGCTGCTTTATCAAGCCTCCTAACATACTATCTCATACAAAATCAATGAGCTCAGCTTTAAGCTGCTGGGAGAGATGGATAACTACAGCAGAAACCAATGTAAGCCTTCCACACAGGAGCCTCAGCAACACCATGCACAGGTCATCCTTATTACTGCTCTTACTCAGGAGGTGGCCTCACACAATAATCCCCTAATGTGATTATTTAAGCAGACCGCAATCATTTTTGCATGATTGTTGAATTCCACAAACAAGGGTATTTAAAGCCAATGTGGAAACAAATAGTGGATTTGGTGTTTTTGTATCCACTGGGTAAAAAAGAGCCTACTGTCTACCTGAGCATAAGGTTATGATGTCAGGAAAACCACTAGCTTGGGCTCAAATGTTCCCAAAATCAGGTGCTGATGAGTCCCAAAAAGTATGATTGTATAAACGTATTTGAAACAATTAAAACATTATGCAATGAATGCAGTACTTGTTAGGCAAACAATTATGTGAATGGTGCGTCACTAAATGTTTCAGGCATTAGGTCATTTCCTTTCGCAAAGAATGCCAAATGCAATGTCAGGGTGTTTTTATATTATGCGGTAATTGTTCTCTTAAAGTGCACCTATCATGCTATCTTTAGGCAATAGCATAGGTCTCAGATATATACAAATATTAGGGCTGTCAAGTTAACGCGTTAATAATAGGCAAAATGTTAGAATCTAAAAGGTTTCTATCGCAATTTCTATTTCAATTTTCTTTCTGCAGTAAGGAGGGGGTTTCACCGACGGCAGGTGGCTCTGACTTTTATGTATAGTTTTTAGTTTGATAGTTGTTTTTACTTTACACGACACTGTTCAACACTTCATTCTACTTCACTATTTCGCTAACGATTTTGAAGACATCCGCGTTCTTGTGACACGTAAATACTACACTTCCTATGTTTTGGTGCGGACTGCGTTCACACCAGCGATGAACCGCTCCAGAGTACACTAGCAAGCGGTCCGAGACCACCTCTTTTAGGTTCACTAACCCAAACGAACCGCACCAAGCGGCTAAACGCACCAGGGTTCGATTCAACCGGACTATACAAGGCTGGTGTGAATGCGACCTTAGACTAAAGTTAACTATCTAAACACTCAGAGAGTCCTTTACCTCACTGAGCTGTAGTTATCAGCCTCTCAGTATGACAGGAGAGACTCTCCCTCCACCTCTTTAATAACAGCACCTTATATCCGGGTGCTAGTGGAGCATGCTCGTGAACTGTTAGCGCCGGAGCCTCGCAGCGGGGAAACTGTGGCGCGCATCATTTGACAACTAAAGACACAGCTACACAAAAACGCAGCAATTAATAATTAATATACAAAATTTGGGACGAAAAGAAAAACATTTGTAGGACTTGCGTGGCTCCATGCAGGAATAAATAAACGTGTAGTAAGAGCGTAGAGTGTGTGGTTGAGAGAAAGTGAGAGGGTGTGCGGTGGATGTGCTCAGAGCAGACAGGTGTTGGGAATCGAAGCAGAGAAGACATTAGCAGTAAAGTTGTCTAGTTGCAATAAATGTACAGTGCAACACAGAAGTGAACAAAGGCCCTGGAAACAAAACAAAGTGTCCCCTGTGCCTCTGACCACAGGCTGCAGCTGAAGCACGAACGCTTCACACTTTGTGTTTCCCCAATGCATAATATACATCGGACAGGCCAGTTTATTCAAGAAACAGTGGAACAACAAGGAGCACAGACTTTTTCAGGTGGTCACTGGCCATTAAATATTGACTTGAAAACAGGACCTGGAAGGCACTCGTCCTGCAGCCGAAGTCATGCACTGCACTTAAGTGTGTCTTGGAGGAATGGCCTTTGGTTTGAAGGGATAGGATTTCTTTGGCTGGAGACTTTCAAAATGTAGCTTATTTTTGCTGGTTTCTACACATTTGCCTAGCCCAGCTTTTATGGTTCCTGTTAAGTTACATTCACATGATAGGCAATTTGCTTTGTATGAATGTGTGCATCACATCATACCATATGATGTGATACCAAACCACATCATACCATATGCCATCACATCAAATCATATCATATCATATCACATCATATGACATCAAAAAATGGGAGGAAATTAGGCCAAAGTTGAACACATTTTTACTCTGTGCGCATCTGCCTAGTTTAGCGGCACTGCTCCATCCTAGAAACACTCCTGTAACATTAGCGTGGAGCTGTATACCGCATATCATGTGCAACTTTACTGCCAACTCTGTTTTGACAAATTACGATGATAATGGCACAGGTAGGTTACTCGCCACTGATTGGCTAGGGCAAAATGAAACAAGACAACTCTCGGAAACAGAAATCTGCAAAAAAGAACATGTTCAGGCTGCAGCATCACTTTAGGAATAACTCTACACTCTTATTGTAATCATTAAGGTTTACTCCATCATTTCATTTTGGTTGGAGACTCGATTGTCTTATTCTGCTCTTGTTAAACAAGCCTAATACTTTGTTTTCTAAATTAAGAGCTTTCACTCAAAAAGAAAAGCTGTGTCTCAAATACAGGCAAGGGTGGATAAACTCCTGATGCTTGGCATGCAATGTGCATCTTAGCATGCCAACTTAGCATAATGTTCATTTCCAACGCTTTAACTGAATTCATAACAACATCAATCACGCTATTTTCAACACTAATTAGTTCTGCATTACTCTTCTAAAGAGTTATGGTAATGCCCAAGTCAATCTGCATGTTGTGGCACAAAATGGCTTCATCTGAGATACAGGCTGTTTCTCAATGTCGAGTACGCTGGCTTGGTAGCACATGTCTTCCGAGCATCTTGCTTCAGCAGCGAGGCAAGAATACTTCCTGGCATTCGGAAAACGAAGAGTGGAACACGCGAGCAAGTGTGCAGGTGTGCGTCATATGATAGGCCCCGCCTTACATTTTCCGCCACAGATTTGGGGAAATTGGTCCGTGCGCAAAGCATTGTGGGGATTTTAAGACCGCGGAGTCTACACATGTGCAGCCTCGAAATTTCTCGCTACGAAGTTCGCCGGGCTCGGTAGAATTCCAAGTATGCTGGACATTGGAACAGTCCTTCGGTGGCACTCGATGACGTAGTATGCTTGAAATAGTGGCTCTGGAGCAGCTTTACTCGACATTGAGAAACACCCACAGTATGGCAACGATAAAAATCGTATTTTTTCACAATGGCTTCCCGCAAATGTTTCACAATAAAAGCCATGTTGGGAATTGAAAGGGTTATGTGTACTGAAACACTAGATGACTAAACATTTCAATCAAATACAGAACAAGTGTTGAGATTTTATTAGCAGCATTATGCTTTAAGAAAAATGGAATTATTTAGGTAAACATCAATAGATTAGAAAAGATGGAGTCTTCACACTTACAAATAAACACATTAAAAACAAAAAACATAGCAGTAAAAAAAGCCTTATATAAATAAATAAATCTCTTGTTTTGCTGTACAGTTTAACCTTCAAAAGCTTGTTAGAAAACTGTTTGGTGGCCTTACGGGCCGTCTCCACGGCAGCGTTAAAAAATCTTGAAACGCTTCTGCCCATCCACTTTGAATGGGGTGACGTCACTTTTTTTCGCTTTCGCCGAAATGCATTGTGGGCAGGCGAGCGGAGATTCTCAGGATTTTCAAGATCCAAAGTTGAACAATGTTCAACTTTTGAAGCTGAGGAGGAAGCGTCAGCCAATCAAATCCCGTGTACGCAAATCTGACAGTTCAAGCTCTAGCCAATCAAACGGCGTGTATGCTGGGAGAGACATACCGCAGGTCATTTCCTCATATTCCAAAAAATGGAGGAGAAATTAGCGGTAGCGAATCAATCACCCGGTGCTTTATGACCAGACCTACCGGGATATAAACCGGAGGAGCCAGGCATGGAGGGAGGTGGCAGAGACAGTGGTAGGTTTTCGCCTGTTTTGGGGAGTTTATATCCAGTTTACTATGGGCTTTTTTGCTTCGTATGTCGCGGGCGGGAGATTCATGTGATTGGTTGCTCGCAAAAAATCCTCAAGCTTCAGATACGCCCACCTCCAAGATTTTTTTAACGCTGCCGTGGAGACGGCCCGTTACTGTAAGATAGAGTGACATTAAAGTGATAGGAAAGGACATTTCATTTTAGTAATTATGCCACAGGGAAACATAAAGCCATCATTTCAGCCAATCATTTTCATGGCAATTATCTAAATAAAAAAGATGGATTAAGTGGGAAAAAATGACAAAACTAGAAAGAATAAATTATATAATAAAAAATACCTTTTGCTTGAGTGTTTTGTTGTTTTGTTGATAAAGCTACGAATAGGCAATACAAATGTGTTTGCCAAATGAATAATGATGTAGTAAATATGACATGACGGATCGACTGTTTGTTCAATTACATTGCACAGGAATTCTTTACTGGCTTTAAACAGAAAATAAGCAGCAAAGCACTGCCTGTAAAAGATAATATTCCCCCGAGCTGTCAAACGCTCTGCTGCACCCACAGGAGAATCTCCACCATAAATAAAAAGAGCCAGTATTGACACTTCTCTGTTATCATCCGACTTTGGAAAGCAAGACATATGGTCTAATTTGAGCTGAAACAAAACAACCTGCCCAAAGCATAAAGGTTTAGACAGCCACAAACACAACAAACAAACACACATTATGATTTGATTCTGTATGATCATAATAAAAGAGAAATGCATTTTAGACCTTCAGTCAGGGGTCTGTAAAGCTCAGATGAATCACCTTTTTGTGTCTTTCATCTACATAAATTAATTTCTGATATTCACGATTATTTCAAAAACGACTGAAGTTTGCGTTACCATGGAGATGACCTGGTTGCCATGGGGCTGTCTCACCTGGTGTGTAGCCAGTCCTGTCAGGTGGCATAGAGATGAGGGAGTCCACGATAGCTGCCCTTCGCTGGAGGAGGGTGGAGATCATCTCCAGCCCCTCTGGGCCCAGCAGCTCGAACAGCTGGAGGGAGAGAGTGGGGGGGTTAGTATCTACACCACAAACATACCACCACACACACATCCAAACACCTATACACATCCTATGGCTCACCAATACCTACAAACACGCTTCTAGTGCCAAAACTGAGCACCTGGTAATTACCATCCGCTCGGTACAGAATATACTCCGTCGCTTAGCCTCCCAAACACAGCCACCTGGCACTTAGTAAGTGACGGAAAAACAACAACAACAAGAAATCCTGTGCACAGCAGCAGCAGCACACAATTATAACTTAGTGCAGACAGGGCTGCACACACTCTCACATATAATTGGAAAATAGTCGACCTACAGGCCCGGGGTATGGTCTATTTGCCAGGTCATATAGAGTCTTATTGTTAACCCAGAAATGTTCAGTACCCCAAAGTATTATGTTAGAAATACAGTAGGGGTCCCCAGCACATAGAAACTGCTGTACAGTTTGCTAACTTACATATGTTGGGCAACTGCATAATTAGCATAAGTTGTGTTAATTAGCATTAAATTGCATTATATCCTACGCAGACAAAAGTAGAACCATTTCTGGAGTTTCTGGAGTGGTTTCAGGAGTTAGTAAGGATGCTGAATCCATTTCTCAGGATCCAAAATGGCAGTTTTAACCAGAAAAGGGCATATCTAAGTGCTGGGGACCCGTTTTACACATTTCTGACATAGGGATTTGGGGTACTCAACATTTCCGGGTTCACAATGCTGGCAACTAGACTAGTGTGTGATTTGAGCCTGGAAACAATGCAGTATTTTCCCCTCTGCTTTCAGGGTTGTTTTCAGGATGTAGGCATGGCGTGCTCTTTCACTCTGTCCTCCCTTGGGAAGCAACAGTCAGCGCAGCAGGGAACTAAAACAACAGACGCACTTTGATGTCAGGTCAGCTATCTTCTTTGTCGGGGTTATCTTTGTTTCCCTCGGAGATCTCTTTTATATCTGTTCTAAACTTCTATTGGTCCCTCTGAATGTCTCTGTTTTATTTGGTGTGCTGCACTGTGGAGAGGGCTGACGTTTCACCAGCTCAAAGGGAGCTGCTTTTTTTATGAACTCATGAATTCTGTCCTTGGAGGTGACTGATTAGGTGTGTGTTCCGTTGACGTGGGAGGCAGAGTTTCTCCTTCAGATGGATTCTGTGCAGTGCCCCATCCTATACAGCCTGGTGCCAAAGCATTAGCTGCACTCCACATCCTCAAGGCTACAGGTCAGGAGTGAGAGTGTGTGTCCTCTACTCCTTTATCTGTGATTAAATATTCAGCCTCGCCTGCTCTATTTTTCAGCTGGTTAATGGAAGCATTATGTGAGCTGAGTCAAACTGGGCAGGGCTTTGTCTCTCCTGAGACCAAATCAAAACAATCATCAATTTGCAAAGTAGGTTGGTTTTATATTTAAGAGTTGAAATTGTACCCTATAAACACAATGCTCAAAGCGATGTAGAAAATCACATAACATGCTTCTACTAAGCACAAAATATGACTGCGTATTAGTTCAAATGTGTTGATATTAGTGTCAATACGATACCTGAGTTTCAGTTTATTAACTCTTTTTTTTTACATAACAATACATCACAAATTAAAATTATGTAATTGGTCTCAATCAAATCTTATAAATGATCATCCTTACACTCATGCCTACGTTGTTGACTCCTGATTTAATAGATAATTAAATAGACTATATTATATGTGTAGACTATATTATATGTGTTAAAGCTGTTTGTTTCTACATGGTTATAGATCAGAGTCTGATTTAGTAATAAATGCATAGTCATTACGCTTCCTGTTTCAATCAAAACAAAACCTATTAAGGCACTTGGTCTTCAGGATCTTTGGAATTCATCACTTTCAATAACGTGAGGCTACTTGAACATAAAATGCCAAAGTCTCGTTTTAATCTGCTACTATATGTAACCAAATGGATTTCCACTGTATCCCCCCTCGCACAACAACCATGAAATGTCACGGCTGCAGGTTGTGCAATGAGAAATAAGAAGTAGCAGGTTCTCTCCATTGTCAGCTCTCATGGCACCGAGTGCAAAGCCTTTTATCTGGACTGTTGACTTTGGAGTCACACAGAGGTGGATGCATCACACACACACACACACACACACACACACACACACACACACACACACACACACACACACACACACACACACACACACACACACACACACACACACACACACACACACACACACACACACACACACACACACACACACACACACACACACACACACACACACACACACACACACACACACACACACACACACACACACACACACACACACACACACACACACACACACACACACACACACACACACACACACACACACACACACACACACACACACACACACACACACACACACACACACACACACACACACACACACACACACACACACACACACACACAGTGGGAGAGTCCGCTTCCAAATGTCATCTACGTGAGAAACATTGGAACTAACAGTAACCAGCGGAAGTTCTTCAATTCTGTACAACTTTGATCTCTCTGATAGAGTGAAGAAGAGGCTCAGAGAGAAGCAATATGGACAATATAAAAGCCTTGGAGTATAGAGGAGCGGGGAGTAGAGGTTGGTGAAAATGCAGGGGGACAGGATGATGGAGCACTCTCCTGATCCATAAGTAAATGTACATGATATCAAATAACTGCTGGGGGGTCCGACAGAATGAGAGACAACCAGAGGCCTACAGTGACTTTGACCTTTACTTTGCATTTCCTTTGTGTCGGTTTGCGTCGCGTCACTCCTGGCTTATACCTGCTCAATGCAATCAATTGACAACATCTACTTGCATACACCTCTCTAATGCTGCTGGATTAAAAAAGGATGCAGGATGCTTCAACTGTGAAATTCTTGGCTCATACAGATGTGTAATGTAACAATTTGGCACACTGGGGAGCAGTGTGTGGGCTGAATAACAGCATTTCTTCGATTTCTCCCCCCACTAATTTCAGACACACAGACCAAAATGTATTTTGCAAAAAATGTTGAGCGAGTGAAGTGCAAGAGAGAGAGTGTGTGTGTGTGTGTGTGTGTGTGTGTGTGTGTGTGTGTGTGTGTGTGTGTGTGTGTGTGTGTGTGTGTGTGTGTGTACTGACTGAGAGGCGTTTGAGGCTCGTAAATAGAAAGAGCTTTCCCCTTCGGGACACACTCCCTGTTCCTAGCCCACTGTATGTGTGTAAATGCATGTTTTATGGAAATTGGCATACAATAATCCACCTCATACATTTTGTAACACAATTGTTCTATCGTATATGTATGCTACACCATGGGTTTCTAATGGCTATGGTGCAGATACAAATCAAAATCTATCTTGAATGACCACTAAACACTTAAAGTTAACTTTCCCATGCCATAACTACTGCATACTGGTAGAGGATATTGATGGGACGATACACCAGTCCCTACTCATCAGTTTCCTAAAGCTGCTGTCTTAAAGGTTGACCTCTCCTTTATGTGTAAATTGCTCACAATCCCAAAGGGTCTTTAATACCAATGAAGGTCAAGCCATGCAGGAAGTTGGGAACGTCTAAAAAGGTCTAAAGGTAAAGGCCAAGGAAGACTTGACAGCCCCCATATGATAATCCTCAATCTGGATCAAAGCCAGAAGGCCTGCTGCTGAAGGTCAAGGTTATAGAATCAATAGGATACCCGAGACATTAAAGGTACCGTTAGGACAGGTCAAACTTTATGTCACACTAACCATGTGGAGAGTTGACCACTCATTTTGAAGTTCAAGTTCAGATTGATCCCTAAAGTATCAGAGTAGAGCTGCTCACCAAACTCCTAATTAACAGAGAGAGGCCCCAGAACGTCCTTTTTAACCTTGACGGATCCACACAGGATAACAGCAGACAAAATAACCTTACTGTGAAACAGAGGGAAGGAAACCGAGGGCAGCATGTGGCGTTTCTGTTGGCTGCTCCAACATTTTATCGGCTAGCAGTTAGCGAAGTCAGCTTAAAAATGTTTGCGCTAAACACTGTACAACCTCCTCTACTTCCAGTGTGCAGTGTGGCTGACGCTTTGGCTGACTATCAGTCGATTTCATAACTGAGACCAGTGTGCACACTTTTTATTTCTCTGACTGTGTGGACATCTGAGGTTTTCACTTCACAGATCATGAGCAGAGACATTACAAGGTAAGTGTTCTAGATAAAGCATGAGACTTGACTTGTAAGCTTTTAAAAGTATACTGTGGAGCGGCTGCACTGTACTAATACTGGGCAGAGAACTGAATAACAGGAAGAAGCAAGAAGCACAAGCACATGACAAAGTGAAACAGTCAATTTCAATATTTGAATATTCAGCAAAAACCTGACATCTCAGGGAAGCATGCAAGGTTCAAATTGTTTAAACTAATAGTAATACATTAACAATAGTAATGCCCTTAGTGGAAGATAATCTTTCTTAATGTTGGGCAAAGAAATACATTCCTGTGAGAATCAAGATTATTTCCAAGGCCAATTTAAGAAATAAAGTATCTATATGTTGGATTGCATTTCCAGGTAACACAAACCTCATTCTGCAGCTCGTCGTCGCTCTTGTGGGAGGTCAGCATTTCAAACAGGGAGGTGCATAGCTCCTCCGGGCTGGATGAGATCATGTTGCCTCCATTTAGATACTTCTCCACCTCTGATCTCAGGATGGCTCCCTCCCCAGAGCTCAGAGAACTTCCTGAAGCTTCCTCACTGGCGACATTCCTCCCGCTCTGCTGGTGGTTGAGGAAGTTGATGAAGTCGAGACTCGCGTTCTCCTCGTTGACGTCAGAGCAGGGCAGCTCCTCCAGCGGGTCCAGAGCATAGCAGTCATACGAGAAGACGATGTTACGTCCAAAAGAAGGGCCTCGTTGGGGGTTGTGACGGGAGGACAGGCTCTGGATAAAGTTCTCCACCCTGGAGTCTCCGAGTGGAGCCACCAGCCGAGCCACACAGGCACAGGAGGCCTCAGCTGCAGAGGAGGGGAAGGGCCCGAACATCTGCTTGATTGCCCGGGTCTCCTCTGTGCCCACATGGTCTTTGTTGTGGAAGGTCTCAAACAGAAACACAGCTGCACTTTCAACGGCGGCCTGCCCATGTTCAGTCCCCACTGGAAATAAAAACACAAAATATGGAAACATTTATGTCATGTTTGCAGCAATCACTACAGCTAGAGGTAGATTTAGTGATGTAGGGGCACATGACAAACAAACACCTGTGGCTTTTTCCACCTTTCCCTAATCAAACTTTTAGAACTCAGATATTTTAAGCTATTGTGCTTTTTGAGGTTTTCCCTTTCCTGTAGTGTATGGGTTTTGTTCATGTAAATGTTCAGCAAAAGCTCAAATCCCTGTCTTCCCTCCAGAGGGAGTTTCTCTCCCGCACACTCCCCCCCCCCCCCCTGCCTGAAACGCCTCCTTTGTTTACTTCCAGAACAGAATGAGATCAACACTTGCGCTTCTTTTGGCTAGAGCTTCAACACATTGTACGTGTAATGCAAAGGGGAGGGACATCTCTAAGCGGTTCACCAGTAACAACAGAGGCAGCCAGCTAACCAATCAGAGCAGACTGGGCTCTGGTTTCAGACAGAGGGTGAAAAGAGGTGCTGCAGCACAGGCAGTATGAGAACAATAAAGAGCTTAAAGGATTCTAGTTTAAGAAACTAGCTTAACTGGTCTGATGAAACCAAGATTGAAATTGTTGATCCTAATTCTAAGGCTCAAGCCTCAAGGAAACCAGGCAGGCACACACACGCAGACATATGGACAGACTGTATATTATAACTAATTATCATTAGTTTTTCATGGCCATTAAATCCGAGCTGTGCACTATTTATAGCTTCAGTGAAGAAACATCTGAGCAGTAAAGACTCAGCATGAGCTCACTGTTTAGGGTCCCGGCCCCTTATTTAATTAATATTCCAAACAATTCATGCTTAACCGGAACTGCACTTAACAAAAAGGAATACAGAGTAATTGTCCAATTAGAGGAAAAAATGTCAGAAGGACAGAGGGAGAATGGAGGGAAGAAGGTTGGAGAGGCAGAGGAAAGCGAAAACAGATGAAAAGGATTTAAACCAATTAAAATCGTCTAAAAGCATCAGACTCGTCGCTGCAAGCAGCCGAGCAGAATGGCTGCTTTCATCCTCTCCAGTGTGCTTAAGAGGAACTTTTTATTTGGATCCAGCCACATTGTCTGAGGGCAGGTTCAACACGGTGCAGCATCACAACAACAAATACTGCTACTCTTGATGGGAGAAAGAGAAGAAAATATACAGCCATAATCTCAGAGAAAAGCAAATTGAGTGAAAATCATCACAAGCTTTTATGAGAGAGCTCCTTAATTGACTGCTGGCTGGTTCAGTTAAAGGTCCCATGACATGGCCATTTCTACTGATCATAATTCCATTGTTGAGGTCTACTAGAATAGATTTACATTGTTCAATGTTCCAAAATCACATTGGTTTCTCATACAGCATCTCTGTATAGTATGTGTATTCACTCTCTGTCCTACACGCCTTGTTGGAGCTCCAGCCCCCCCCCCCTCCCTATGAGCCCACTGTGCTCTGATTGGTCAGCTCGCCCACTCTGTTCTGATGAGTCAACCACCGTTACAGCGGAACATCAGAGATGATGTGTTACAATGGCGTTTGATAGCAACCAGGAAATGAGACCAGTAATGACAAACAGATGAGAATGCTGCGTGGGGTCTGGGTGCCGTGTTGGCGGGATGTTGTGGGGCTCGCTGCTCCGCCCTTTGAGGCTCGAGGAGCGGACAGTGTGAGCTGGATTACTGGTGTCGTTTCCTGGTTGCTGCGTGGGGTCTGCGAGACAGCGAGACACTGCGGAGCTCAGCCTGAGCACACACACACACACACACACACACTCACAGCCTGAGCTCCGAGTGTGTGTGTGTACGGAGCTCCGAGTGAGTGTGTGTGTGCTCTGCAGCGTTACGTCAGTATGCCCCGGAAAAAAAAAATGGAAAAATAAAAATCTCCAACGAGGCGTTCTGGGGCAGCATAGACAGGTCTGTTCTGTGTTAGAGTTTTACTCGCTACAGGGTGTACTTTGAGGGTTTGTGACTCTGCAGACCGTTTACATGCAGAAAAAGCTCCTTAACACACAAGGGGACAGGTAATAACCAGAAAAGCATGACATGGGACCTTTAACTCTTAAAGTGGTAGAGGGAGGATTACAGCGTGTACGGCATGCTGTTAAACACCTTAACACTTTATTTTGTAAATTTTCAAAACAAATAATACAAACATTAATTTTATTATAACATTTCATGTAATGTTCTGGATATTAAAGAGGCCATATTATGGGTTTTTCCCTTTGGTGCAGTGTGTTAGATTGTTGTTGTGCATGTAGGGCACCTCTAAGCGGTTGACCAATCACAACAGAGCCAGCCAGCTAACCAATCAGAGCAGACTGGGCTCTGGTTTCAGACAGAGGGTGAAAAGAGGTGCTGCAGCACAGGCAGTATGAGAAAAAGAAAAACCTTTTTGAACATTAAAGCATGGAGACATGTCCCAGTAGAGAGACTACATACTGATATACACCTGAACATCAGCAGGAGAGGACTCTTTAAAGTAGAGACACTACATACTGATATGAACCTGAACATCAGCAGGAGAGGACTCTTTAAAGTAGAGACACTACATACTGATATGAACCTGAACATCAGCAGGAGAGGACTCTTTAAAGTAGAGACACTACATACTGATATGAACCTGAACATCAGCAGGAGAGGACTCTTTAAAGTAGAGACACTACATACTGATATACACCTGAACATCAGCAGGAGAGGACTCTTTAAAGTAGAGACACTACATACTGATATACACCTGAACATCAGCAGGAGAGGACTCTTTAAAGTAGAGACACTACATACTGATATGAACATCAGCAGGAGAGGACTCTTTAAAGTAGAGACACTACATACTGATATGAACATCAGCAGGAGAGGACTCTTTAAAGTAGAGACACTACATACTGATATGAACATCAGCAGGAGAGGACTCTTTAAAGTAGAGACACTACATACTGATATACACCTGAACATCAGCAGGAGAGGACTCTTTAAAGTAGAGACACTACATACTGATATACACCTGAACATCATCAGGAGAGGACTCTTTACAGTAGAGACACTACATACTGATATGAACATCAGCAGGAGAGGACTCTTTAAAGTAGAGACACTACATACTGATATACACCTGAACATCAGCAGGAGAGGACTCTTTAAAGTAGAGACACTACATACTGATATGAACATCAGCAGGAGAGGACTCTTTAAAGTAGAGACACTACATACTGATATGAACATCAGCAGGAGAGGACTCTTTAAAGTAGAGACACTACATACTGATATGAACATCAGCAGGAGAGGACTCTTTAAAGTAGAGACACTACATACTGATATGAACATCAGCAGGAGAGGACTCTTTAAAGTAGAGACACTACATACTGATATACACCTGAACATCAGCAGGAGAGGACTCTTTAAAGTAGAGACACTACATACTGATATACACCTGAACATCAGTAGGAGAGGACTCTTTAAAGTAGAGACACTACATACTGATATACACCTGAACATCAGCAGGAGAGGACTCTTTAAAGTAGAGACACTACATACTGATATACACCTGAACATCAGCAGGAGAGGACTCTTTAAAGTAGAGACACTACATACTGATATGAACATCAGCAGGAGAGGACTCTTTAAAGTAGAGACACTACATACTGATATACACCTGAACATCAGCAGGAGAGGACTCTTTAAAGTAGAGACACTACATACTGATATACACCTGAACATCAGCAGGAGAGGACTCTTTAAAGTAGAGACACTACATACTGATATACACCTGAACATCAGCAGGAGAGGACTCTTTAAAGTAGAGACACTACATACTGATATACACCTGAACATCAGCAGGAGAGGACTCTTTAAAGTAGAGACACTACATACTGATATACACCTGAACATCAGCAGGAGAGGACTCTTTAAAGTAGAGACACTACATACTGATATACACCTGAAAGTGAGAATAATATGTCCTCTTTAAGAACACATTTATGAGCAAATGATATGAACTGCCATTCTCTGCCAGTAGCTGATTTACAGTCATCCATAAAACTAAGCCTTTATATTTAGGAAATATGGCTTAGCTTATAATATTTTATATAAGTTTTTACGCTGATGTTTGTTTGCACATCCCATTATTGACAGTTGCACTAAAGAGGCTGATCATTTATTTAGAAGAGGATTGCACTGAGGAGACATCAGATTGTATTTGTGTTAGTCTGCAATGTTCGTTCTATCTCAGATAAAGGAGATGCTGCTATCTGCTAACAAATGCAGTCAAACTATTTACTTCTCATTCACCAGTTGTTTTTATTTTTAAATGTATTTTTATGATTCCCTGTGGACATTTAGTTGATACTTTATCATTTAAAATACAAGCACTGCAGACAAAGTCAACATATAATGCTCAAAGAATACAAAACAAACACAATTTGTGTCTGGTTTGTTGTTGTTTATCAGATAAAGAAACAACAAGAAAAACAACAACGTGGGCAATGTATATCATCCATTTGCTGCCCTGCTCTCTAAATATCTGCATCTGATATTAAAAAGGCATATCAGTGGACCAATACTTTGTTTTCAGGAACTTTTTATTTGAAGATGAACTTTTGATGCTTGGATGCAGTCATACTGTTGTTTTCATGATGTGTTGTTAGCTCTCTTTACTCAATGTACTCAATGTATATGGAGTGTCAAGTTCAATTTCTCAGTAGGTTGTTAAATACGTTATTTATATATATTTGACTGTCTGGGTTATATCATAGTGATCCTTTTATCAATGATTTATTCAGTTGCTCTCACTAGGTAAGGATAAAGAGACAACCTCATTTTATGGATTTCTATTTTAGGATCTTTAAGACTTTTTTAAAAGCCGTGGGAACCATATTTGTAGTTCTTTTTTAGTACTCTAGTTTCGGCAAACAATCTAATATGCCATTTCTCTAACTTGTTAGCACCAAAAACAATTCTTCCTTTACTTCACAAAGATAAAATGCACCTCAAATCCTGGACAAATATAATGAAAACAGTCTGCATGACAACATGCCTCTAAATCTGTTAAGTGGGTCATTTATTAAAGCCAGACAGAGTGATCTTTCTTTAAACCCACAATGATTTATACTCCAGATTTTACAAAGGCATAAAACAATAACATGGTAATTTCAGGAGCTGGTAAGTGTTTCATAATCACTTTTAGTCGCAAACAGAAAAGGGCATTGTGTTATTTGTAACTGTGTTTTCATCAGTGTAACACAAACATGAAAATACATTGAAAGACAAGAAAATGGATTTGAGGCTCAGGAGTTAATTACCAATTTCCTTGGCTGCCTGAAGGAGGCTCTTCAGTTCAGCTTGCTGTTTAGCGTTGTCCTGATGCTCGGAGCAGAGATGGACAATCTTCTGCCACGTCAGACCCTCTCTGGCAAACAGCTCCCGCCTCTTCAGCCGCTTGGTCTAACATGAAGCACAGGGAGAAAAACAATTTCATTTCAACAAGGACAGCAGGAGCACTTACTGCTGTCATAATGACAGGTATTTGAACCGCCCACAAAGCCTTGGATAAGACAAAAGAAGCCCAATATTTTGTCAAAGCAGGATGAAGTGAAAAAAGCATTCATAAGTAAATAATGTTGTTAGCTTGGATGTAAGGACAACTGTTGTGGCTATCCAATATGCCATTGAATGTTAAAGAGAACATCAAATCTGTGTCTCTACTGTGACATGTCTTCATGCTTTAATGTTCAAAAAGCTCTTTATTTTTCTCATACTGCCTGTGCTGCAGCACCTCTTTTCACCCTCTGTCTGAAACCAGAGCCCAGTCTGCTCTGGTTGGCTGGCTGGCTCTGTTGTGATTGGTCAACTGCTTGGAGACATACTGCCCCCATAGAGAACCGCAGTGACGCGTCCTAAAACCCAGAAGTAAACTTCTTCCGGTTCCTTCGACAAAAACCAATGCAATTTCTCCATAGGATTTTGGAAAATAGCTTGAAATAAGGTCTGTGGTTGAGACACATTTAAGAGACGGATCACGTTTTGTTCAGCCGGGTAATCTCCACATGTCTACCCATCTTTTATAATTTTCTAATCATAAATCTATCGATTAGATTTATGATTCGAAAATTATAAAAGTAGGGTTTTAGGACGCGTCCCATAATGCAACTTAATTTTTTCAGATTCACCTCAAACTAGTGCTATCATTTGAAAATGGTGCATATATAACACCTGACTTTTAACACTGGCACAAATTAATGCAATTTTGATAATGAGCTTTCAAATTGTAGTTACAAATGCATCTTTAGTAGTATGTGTATTTCTGTAGAAAATCCAGTGTTAATGAGAATAATCTTATTTTGAAGCGTCTGCCTATAGAGCAGTGAGGTATTAAAAGTGAGCAGCTCGGAGGTCAGGAGAGGCATTAACACAATGACTCCATTACAATCTACAGCTCCATGCCTTCTGAAACTAAGCATTTTAGCACAGGCTGAGAGATCATCTCAGAGCGGCTGCAGGCTTCTTTTCTCTGGAGAAGCACTTTTTCTGCTGAGAGGATTTAACTGGAGGTGAGCCAGGTACAGGGAACAGCTTAATCGGCACCCAATTTCATTTCAAATCTCACGAAGAGGCAACTGATCTGAAAAAACAAATCAGTAAGATAAGAGTGAAAAGCAATAATGATTGGAATACAAAACACAGGTAGAAATGTTTGAAAGCAAACCAGTGAGGATAAAGGAAACAATCCACCCAGATGTTGTCCATCTGCAAGCAGTGGACATTGTGGTAAAAACTTCAAAGGAGGTAAGAAACTAAAATAGCATTTGCACGCTTCATATGAATTTGACAAAACAGCAGTTTGATGTCAGAGAGATCTCTGTCAGGCTTTAGCGCCAGCATTCACAGAGACAGAGCACTGGCTTTAGGCTGAAACAGTTCCTGGGTCAAGTTGTTGCACACCAGCATGAAGACTGTGGTCGTTTGTTATTATTCTAAAAATGGATTTTAATCAATATTTGTCCCGAACTACGTGTGACACGTGTAACAAGTAGGCCATATCAACTTAAAAGGTTTTAATATGACAGGAGAGCTTCGAACTGATGTCAGACACTGGAGATCTATTCAAAGTTACAGCCTGAGCATATAGACATATGCTGAGTCACCGTAGTGACACAGCTTCTTCCCAACCAACTTTTGCCTTCCCTTGCTCTCTCCTCGATATTTAAATACTTCTAAGATTCCATAACCAGTCAAAGCAAGCTCTGTTCCTAGCAGAGAGTGACTGGCTGCAGGGAGCTATCCTCCTGATAAGATCAACTCCCCGATATCCTTACGGCTCTCTGACACTGTGCCTCAGCTTTGTCCTGTTATTATCTGAAGAAGAGATTGTTTTATGAATGTTTTGATCAAGCCGAATCAACTATCACGGTCATACCAATAAGCACCTGTGGGGACAAAATGTTAAAGCTCCGAGGCCGTTTGCCTGCATGACACAGGGGAGTGAGAGGAGAGGCAATGACAAAGATGACAACTAAAACTAAAGGGCCTCATTTAAAATGTAGACATGTAGACAGCAGGGGGTCGGAACAAAGTGTTGACCCCCTGATTTGCAGATCAGCGCAGCCTTTACTATACCAAACTTTCCTAAATATAACGTTATATTGTGACAATAGAGACAGACTTCCCATTACCCATGAGCTGGTCTCACCTTCAGATCGTAGAGCTGTTCATTAAAATCCTCCTTCTTGCTGACAGTGGAGAAGGAGCGCAGAGCCCCTGTGAGTCGAGGAGGAGACATTGTTCTCTGATGCTCTCATCCAAACACTGCTCCTCCAGAAGGTTCTATCACACAGATACAGAGAATGAAATGAACCTTCATGGCAGAATGGTTACTTCATGACATAACCATCAACAGTGGTGTAAAGTAACTAAGTACATTTACTCAAGTACTGTACTTAAGTACAATTTTGAGGTACTTGTACTTTAGAGGATTATCTCCATGTTCTGCTTCCTCACTACAATTCAGAGGTAAACATTGTACTTTTAGCTTTTATAATAGTACTATTTATGCTACGTATTCTTCTTTCTGTGTCTTTGTATGCACCAAAGCTAATTCCTTGTTTGTGTGAACCTACTTGGTAATACAACTGATTCTGATTCTGGGTTAGGGTAAGCGCAAAATAACCCAATCTGCATAATAAGTATTTTCACTTTTGGTACTCTAAGTATATTTTGATGCTTATACCTTTGTACTTTTACTTGAGTAACATTGTGAATGCAGGACTTTTACTTGTAGCAGACTATTCCTACTCTCTGGTACTTCTACTTTTACTTTTACTCAAGTACAAGATCTGAGTACTTCTCCCACCTCTGGCCATCAATAGTACATAACGTGTCTATAGAGATACACACTCAACTCCTATAGAAAACAGGTACGTTAAGTTGTTCTGAACGAAAATCACACATGCAAACATGGACATTATTAGCAGATGTTACACGTCGTTGGGGTCTTTTTTATTCTTCGGCATACAATGGGTCCTAAAAAACACCTGATCACAGCTAAATATATGACTGTAATAGCTGGAAGTTATATGCAATGAAGCTCCATTGTGTTGGTTCTAGAGTGTTTGGGATAGCCTACCTGTTATAAAAGTCAAATGATTAAGGGAACAAAGACTGCATGGTAGATAGGATGTTCGGCAAATTGAATACTGGATACTATCGATTCCTAAAGACATAATGCCAACTTTATAAACATAACATGATAACGTGAGTACAAAAATGATTAAGCCAGCTTTTTTAATCCACCTAACGTCATTCTGTGCAGGCGTTAACGCCATGTCTTGCTTTTATTACTGTTTAAACGATACGTTTTCTTATGCCACTTACATAAGAAGTTACACAAGACGTTACAAAATACAAATATGCTTCCTAATGTTGTCTGTGTTGCTAGCTGGTGTTAGCTTGCCAGCCTGGCTGTCATTTCTAAAACCCTTTTAATGTAACGTTAGCTTCAGTGCTGTGGAAAACTGTCAATGTCAAACCAATTGCCACAAAGTATTAGCTTGTAAGGCAGTCTAAAACTTCATATTTCAATATGTAACTAGGCCTACCTTCCAAATCGCTTTGCAGAACGGTCTGTGAGAAGCGTGGGACTGCTGGCTTACCGGCAGATGTCAACACAACTCGCTCGCATGCTATGAACCATGGGAACTGTAGTTCCTTACAGAAACTACTCAAAGGAAGCTTCGACTAATCTGACTACATTTCCCATCTACACCTTGAAATGCCACATCACACAAGATTTGCTTTTTATATTTACCGGCGTACACCGAAACTAACAAATGCGGAGTCTGTACTCGAATTAAAACGGGGTACGCGGCTAAAAGCCGGTAGTAACCAGATGACAACCAAACTGGATTGTGCGTCTGAGTCTGCTTCATGTTGTGGATCTATTGGCTTTACTTAGGTCCCATTTGCCCGATGTTCTTTAGTCCAATCATTATAATGACTAACTTCACACAGCCGGACGCCCCGGTACCCATAACAAGCACAACCACAAAAACTGCAGTTTACTGGGAAAACGAAACTTCTCTGACAGCATCCCAATCCGTGTATCTACCGTCCATTTGTTTTTTTCTAGTCTTTAGAGTCTGGCCTGGATAGCTGGTCAAAACTATCCTTCAGCACACTGACACACTCTGTCACTCTGGTTGGCCTCTTATGAAGCTGCTGTCTTTTAATATAAGATTATTTCTCAGCCGCTAGTTCGTTCCTCGCAGATTCTTCAGTCTCATCAGCCTCATCCTTCCATCAGTCCCCTGCAGTCAACGCATCAGCCTCCAGCACACTTCCAGTATCTGACTCCATATGATATTGTCCTGATGCTGTAAGGGTGATGCCCCATGATCACAAAATGATCCCTCGAGAGCAGGGGTATTCAACTAAAATTCAACGAGGTCCAGTTAGAGAAAATCTCCCCATGCAAAGGTCCGGAACATCAAAATGTCTAACTTGCTTTATGAATTAGTGTGATATATATTGAAGTAGCCTGTAGCTGTATCAACGTCTGCATGTCATCAACAAAGGACTGCCAATCAAATAAACAGTACAATTCATAAACAACAATATTTATTGTCAATTAACATTGAACTATACAGATATACAGTAAAAATACTGTGGATATGTGTAATGTTCCTCTCTGGCTGAATTTAAAAATAAAATAGGAGAAAATAAATAAAATAGCTTTTGAAAATATGTGCATCTTAAAAGTGCTTAATTTTAGATAAATAAAATAAAGTGTAGCAGCAGCTTGAGTTTCCCTTTTTCTTTGTTAACCGTTTCACATCATGACTTAACCGATTATAGAACAATATCAGTCTTTACACATCATAACAATTGAACAGTTTTAACGTTTCTCTTTCTTTCCCTCTTATATTGCAGTCCATCACTCACTTTCTTTTAATTCAGTGCGAGAATTGAGCACGAGCTTGTCCTGCCAGGAGTTTAAATCTGGGCTGAAATGGTGTCAGGGCCATTCTCATACAAACATGGAGGTGCTCATTGGTTAGCCTCGGTTAGCCTGCCCTGGAACGATATTTAGTTTTATTTTGATATTTTGATCCTGGTGTGACCTCAGTTCTGACTTGAGAGGGAATGTTTGGTCAAACACTTTGTGTTTTGTCTCATAGTGGCGTTTTGGCACTTTTAATGAGCGCCACGGTCTCTGAACAAATGAGACACACTGGTTCTGTGCTCCCAGTGGGCAGGATGAACATGAATGAGTCCGTCCACTCAGGGTTAAAAGCTCTGTTCTCACTGTCTACTTTCCTCTTCTTGGAGAGCGCCATGTGTAATTATTAGGGCTGTCAGTCGATTAAAATATTTAATCGCGATTAATCGCATGATTGTCCATAGTTAATCGCGATTAATCGCAAATTAATCGCACATTTTTTATCTGTTCTAAATGTACCTTAGAGGGATATTTTTCAAGTTTTTAATACTCTTATCAACATATGAGTGGACAACTATGCTTTATATGTTTGTTTATTATCATTTGAACAATGACAAATATTCTCATGAATATTAAACACAACAACCTCTGAACATTACAAATATTCGCCTCAATTCAACCTAGAACCTCTCTCATACAATAGTGTGTGTGTGTGTGTGTGTGTGTGTGTGTGTGTGTGTGTGTGTGTGTGTGTGTGTGTGTGTGTGTGTGATCGTTGGAGCTATGTGCAGCTCAAGGCATATATGCCTGTGTGTATGAGCTGTGTTGCGGCACTATCCGTGCTGAGTGTGCTGTCTGGCTACCTGCATAAAGTCAAGTGCTCGGCGCAGTTGTCGGCGAAATGTCGCTCCTCTGTTTTCATTGAAACAGCTCCTTATATCCGTTAGCTCAGCTAGCTAGCACCAGATGCTAACAACAACACGTAAGGTGTGCTTCGCTCGCGCCACACATACACACACCCTCCCGGTCCTCCCGATGGCCAGTCCGGGCCTGCCGGTGAGCGTGGAAGTGTGGTCTGCCACAAGCGGGCAGCAGGAGCGGGGCTGTCAGCATCAGCTTGTAGATGGTGTTTTAAACTCGATGCGCTCTGAAACTACGGCGGCTGAGGACAAAAAATACACATGCGTTAATCGCGTTAAAATAATTAGTGGCGTTAATTTTTTTTTGCGTTAACGCGTTATTAACGCGTTAACTTGACAGCCCTAGTAATTATTTGTCTCTCCCTGTCTGCCGCTAACACGCCTGTTCACTCTCCTCTCCGCTTCTCTCCCTGTATCGCTAATTATTCTCTTCGCTCACTTTCCTCTCCGCTTCTCTCTGCCGCTCTCTCGTCTCTTCTTCTGTGTTTCTCTCCCTGTATCGCTCACTTGTCTCTTTCGCCCCCTGTTGGCGGCGGTTAAAATAGAATCGCCCCGTCAAAATTGAATTCCCCTATTAATGTATTGATTATAGGTCCGGGTCCGTATAGGTCGGCGTCTGGGTCCGGATCCGGACCGCGGTCTGCCTGTTGCCGACCCCTGCTCTAGAGTCTGAGTGCCAAGGACCTCATATTATGTCTGTCATTAATGTTACATCACCCATTATAACAATTTGCTTTCCTTTTTTCTCTTCTCTTAACTGAATAGCCCTGTCTTTAAGTATAATACAATGTTTAAAATCCTTTTCCTGCACCATTTTAAGGCTTCAAAACAGGCATTTTTAATGTATGTGTTTGGAGAGCCATTGAAGCCCATGAAGAATTTATCCTTCCACAAATCTTTTCAACTGCTGTATTAATAAAGTTGCCACGTGTTTTCAAATTTAAGTTAAGGCACTATCTGTGCAGTATTTTATTTCAAAAAAGTGTTCAGAAAGACTGCATCAATTATATGCTATATATATATAATATCAATATTTGGTTAATTGCCATGCTTGATATAGTTTACGTTCAATTTAAACTATTTTATGCAGAAAAACGTATATTGACTAAACCTTTTTTAATCATTTACTATAATTTAGAAAGGTTTTTGTGAGAAATCATTTGAAAAGTAAACTGTTTTTTCATTTTATATTTAAATTTGAAATGTTTGCATACAACATTATTCATTTATACATTTTTATCCATTTTTTAAAATTATGAATCCATTTATTTTAATGTATTTCCTTGAGGCTGGGGAAGATATATTAGCATGTAGTTCAACATGCAAATGTTCTAATGCAAGTAAGTATAAGTATAACATGGAAAAGGAAATCAAATACATTTCATAGGAGGATGTGGATTTATTTTCTCTCACCTTGTAATTACACAATCAAACAATCTATAATTTAGCTCTGGCCTTCACTCACAAAAAAACATTTTGTTGAATTGGACACATTTTTCGAAGCTCTATTGACTGACATGCAATGACCAGCTATCCAGGCCAGACTCTAAAGACTTTCCAAGGGGTAAAAATCCTGCTGCCGGAGTACTGACTGGAAGTATTGCTGATATCAAGTCTACCATCCTCTTAAAATACTCTGTCCAACAATATCAGTCTCATGAAGAAAGTTTTTTTTTAACACTTATTCAAAATAGCAGAGAAACATGCATTCTTGTTCTCAGGAGGGGACATTGACAGAGGATTATTGGAAAAGTACACAGTAAGTACTTCATAGTACTTGTGGGGGTAGTTTCACTACTGAGTCCAACAGGATCAATCTAACGAAGAACTAATGGCAACAAAAAATAATTCCCTCATCAAACTTAGCAGAAGTGGCTTGATTTTGTTCTCAGGAGGGGACTTTGACAGAGTATTTCTCAAAAAATACACAGTAAAAGTACTTCAATGTATTGTAAGTAGTAGGCTAACTAATACAAAGTCAAACAGTATCAATTTCATTAAGAACTAATGGTAAAATTATATTTTTATCATTCATCAAAGATAGCAGAAAAACATGCATTATGGAGGGGACAAAAAAAAAAAGAATACCCACATTTTAAAAGTGGGGGGGGACACAAACGGGATTTTGAAAAGTGGGGGGGACATGTCCCCCCTGTCCCCAGTGGAAACTACGCCCATGCACATATGGTACCTACACCGGCAGCAACACATAACGTAGTACTTTCTTTTAAATGCATGTCACATATTTAACATATTTAACATTAAGCTGTCTGTGGCTCTTTTTACTGCTGTAACTACGCAAATTTCGCCTCCGTGGGACTAATAAAGGTATTCTGATTCTGAACACACAGCAAAGAAGAATTACCGAAACTAAACGAAGTGTTTAAATTATTTATTAAAATTATAACTACAATCCGAAAAAACAGGGGAAGCCTGGTTTCCCTTGGCCTCAGGTGAAAACGCCACTGTTGGTAGTATGTTTCGTGCCTGCACCACGTCCTTTTGTCCGGTCGGGTCTTGGAAGACCAGAAGCTGTGTGGTTCATAAAAACATTTTCTTACTCAATATCAAGCCACGATTATTGTTTTTATTTTAAATCGTATAATGTCGGACTTCTTTTGCCGTCCGCAAGGAAAATAAATGGGGCTCAGAGCCTCAGAATACTGAAATCCGTATTTTTTATTTTTTTATTCTAATTTGTTATTATTTTCTAAATAACACACTGTTATTTACTCAACAATAACACACAATTATCCTTGTTTTTATTTATATGTTTAATTCTATAATATCGGGCTTTTTTGCCGTCCGTCAGGAACTGAATTTCAAAAT